ATTCCATTATTCAAAACACTGCGCCAAACAAGCACTGAAAAAACACAACTATTAAAGGACTTGTTATTTTAAAACTCATTATACCTTTTCTGTGATTGAAACCTTCTAGTAAAGATGCTTTTAAATTATAATTTTTGAGTGCTATCCCTTCTTATTTTTCACTCGAGATTAAGTTATGTATATATATATATATATATATATATGATGTTTCTATATATATGATGTTTCTATATATATTTTTTCTATTTTTGTGCAAATTATGGATGAGAAGACACTATATAAACCTAAACCGAAGAAGAAAACCTTAGCTCCATGTATATATAATATCAATCTCAGGATTCTAATTTCAAAAAAGAAAAAAAAACATTTTTTCACCATCAAACTTACCCCATGAGGTTATTCAATAGAAGATTGTTTGTCGTATTAAATAATACAAGCGCAAATATTATTTTTTAAGGTACAAAGACTTCTATTTTGTTGTTATTCGAAAATGATCCCAGCAAGGGACTTGCCGAACTCTCATGTGATGAAAACTTTTCTCCTTCAAAATTGAATTATATAATATATAATCTTCGGTGAAGCAAACACTCCCACCCCTACCAAGTTAAATAAAATTAATTAATTAAAAAAAAAAAAACAGGAGTGTAATAAAGATGAACTTGGTCGATTCCTCGGGATTGCTGTGCACGTGCCCCATAGAATATACACGCATTCACCGATGCCATCCATCCCTTGATCCTGATGCTGACACGCCGCACGAGTGGTGATCTTGATTCTTTTTTTTTTTTAGTTTTATTATTATTAAATAAATAATTGTACATTTGTCCCCATAATTCACCAGCTTCCACTTCTATCGCCACGGTTTTGCACGTATCTAATTTTGCTTTTATAATTTCAAAATGTTTGAATTTTGCTCTTTTCATAAATTTTTTATATTATCCATCAAGAACACATTTTGAATTTTATATTATCACATTTAAAGGTAATTTGACAAAAATAAAATGAGAAAACACACAAAAACAAATGGAGAAAGATGAAGTTTTCTTTTCTAATACTTTAAAATTAGTTTGGGATCTTAGGTATCTTTATTAACATTTATAAGCTATAATTTTTATTATATATAAGCATTAAATTTGTTATTTATAATTATATTTTCTTACATAATATCAAAAAACATATTAATAACACTTATTTATTAATTATTTTGTGCTAGAAAAAATAATTATTTGAACTACTTATAGCTAGTGAATAATTTGTGTTATAATATTAAATATCTTAATTTTTTTATTTATCATCAATTTTTTTATGTTGAATTATCTCAACTTCATGATTTAGAACACGCAATAAACATGTAATCTAGATATATTTCATGTTTAAATTACGAGTTTCACGTGTTAACCTAGCTTTGATCAATATAATATTTTTTTATTTGTTGTTATTATTTTTTTAAATTAATCAAGATTTAGCTTAATTATTAAAAAAAAATTACTTCTTAAAAACCCATAATAGTCTCATAATTTTTTTTAGTTGTCATATTTATTTTTTTAATTTTTTTTCTAGTTGTTATCAATTACACGGGTCACTAAACTAGTATAAAAATAATGAAGGAATATCGGTGAATCTATGGGTGGAGATGATGTTTACGAAATAGGAGCCATAGTACCTTATGAAATTTGAGCAGAGCATGCTGCAAAACGATAAAGTAAAGGTCACACCGGCAATAAGTTTGGTAGGACAGCGTTATATAATTAATTTTGGACCGACAATGCATAAAAAAAATCAAATCGAGATATCAACTCGAGAACTAAGAAGCTTACAAGACATGAATGAAACGAAAGTTCCAAGATTGGTCAAATAATCTTTGCACAGATTTTAATTACTCAAACCAATTATGTCCTTTTCGTTAATTTTTCTTAATTAATTGTGCTTGGAAGCCTTAATTAACTTGCCTTTGGATGGTTAAAATTATTGATAGCAGAATAGAAGGGTTCTCGTGAGATAATATTAATTAGCACAGCAATTATATAGTTAAACAAGGCAAATATTTACTCGCTCTATTGAGTAGAATCACGGTTTTACCAATTATATGAGTACTATATATATATATATGAACCTCTTTGTTATATAGTCACTTGCATTTTGAAAATTTTTACATGATATTTTAATAGTTTTGGAAATAACAAAATCAATGGAATGTGTTACATGATTAAAAAACTGATTTCATCAATAATAAAAATAAAACTAATAATTTTTAATAAATATTTGGTTTTTTATTTTAGTTTTATTTCTTTTAATTTTTTTCTAGCTTGTTTATTTGAATTTTTTTTTCTAGTTTGTTTATTTGATTTAAAAAACAATATTAAAGAAATTATGAACATAATTATTGACGGATTAAATTTATAGGAAAGTTCTAAAGAGTTAGAAAAAAAAACTATATGAAATGATATTCATTGTTACGAACATAATCATCAAAGGACTAAATTTTTTATAGAGTTTCAGAGAGTTTGAAAGGAAATTGCATGACCTTACTATTAATAATATATCAATTACTAACAATTTCAATCTATAGTAATACAAAATAAATTATTGATAAAATTATAAATAGTTTTCTTTATAAGTAATAAAACATGCTCACCAATAGAATTACTGATGGGATAATAACGATAAATGTTTTTTGTTCTACATGCTTTTTCAGTCTATAAATCGATCAGTGTTTATATTATCAACAAAATGACTGATATAATAAAAATCATTAACGATAAGTCTTTTGATGAATAGTAACTCTCTAAGAGTTTATAATAAATGTTTTTTTTAACAAAATTAATTTTTAAATATCAACAAACAATCCGTTAGTAATATGTAAAATTTTGATGGAGATTGTGGTTGAATTAATTAAAAAAAAATCCTTACAAATGAGGGGTGCTTACACGTAAATAGATGAAAACTCCCAATATTACTTTGCTCACAAATCTTACTATATACACACATGCAGTAATTTGCATTGTAAATTCTCATCACATTCTACCACATGCATATGTAAGTTATTTAAGTAAAGGGAAACGTATAAGCCACAACGTTAGGGAATACACACGCACGCACATATGCCTCTTGCTAATCTCTATAATTTAATTTAATTATTAAAGCAAAGAATTGGGTAGAAGTAGACAAAATTAAAAGAAATAAAAACCCTAAGAATCTACAAGTGCAAAGCCACGCGAGGTATTTCTTAATTAGCTTAGCTCACACATTAAAAACTAATGTCTTCTTGTAGCTTCAAGGAGAACATTATATGGTGACCATGGACAAAGATGGAGCTGGAAAATTGATGCTGAAATGTGTCCCTCTAAGACCAGTCAAGCCGACACCCAAGTTGCATATGGGGCCATTGCACGTGTGTGGATGATTGCAGGATTATCTAAGGGTTTTCTTTATTGAGTCCATGAATTTCTTGCTCTCAGTCTGGCTAGAATACTAGAACTTACATTCATTGTTTAATTGATTTGGTCACGCAAATTCTCTGAGGTATCAGGCATGATTACAATGTCTTAATCCAACCCATCTCAGCCCTAGATCACAATGCAATAATTGTGTTGAACTTGGAAGGGATCTCTTGCAAAACATGGGGAAATACATCATGCATGGACGTTTTCTGTAAATTTGAAAATCCTAAACCGAAGGTCAAGTCCCTGTCAAGACCATGCTTGTAAGGAATACTGTTTAGGCGTTCAAACATCAATTTCGATCCCGACAATAAGATTGGCGACGAAAATGTTATTGCTTAATGATTGAGAAACATCGCTAGAAAGCTTCATTTTCAAACTTATATTAAAACCTTGTGATTAATTATATAATATATAATCTTGTACATACTATATAGTTTAAATGATGTTTCTAATCAACACATTAATATAAATTTTGGATGTATTTTGAATGGGGGGCAATTTTTCAAAGTCCAAGCCCCGATCTAGGGACTGAGTAAGCTCTAAGTTGTAACACACAAGGACAATGGGGATGTCATTTCAATTGAGTCGATAGAGGATTATTATTGATTATTTTGTTTTTATCTTGTAAAATAACTAGTGATCAATAGGGGTTTTCCATGACTTAGACCAGTTTATACTTTATATGTAAGAAATCTAAATCACAGGTGGAGACAACATTGGAGGAACTGAGGGTAGAGTTTGTGACACAAGGTAGCTTCATTCGGAGGATTCTTTGACCAAGACAAGAGTTTAACCTGTAGAAATGTGGCTTGTATGGTCCTACAAGTTTGTCACGATATATTTGAGTGAAGAAGCTTAGCTTAAATTCAATTCAAAGCTTGGAATCCATATGGACTTGACTCTTGAGCCATGGAAACCCCACAAGAACCCTAGCGAAGAGGGAAAATTAAGAAAGGAAAAGAAAAGAAACTCTCTCTTGTCACATACACATATACAAATACATATGTAGACAATTTACGAGTTGTCTTAACATTCTTAATTTACTTTTGAAGTACATTGCTTTCTCCCGACCAAAAAAAAACTTGTACACTACTTTTCTCTTCCCAGCCACAAAAGAGCACATACTTTGTTTGCAATTCTATATTCTACGTTTAGTAGTGCAGTCCATCACAAATTCTATATTTTACATTACTGTGCATGATCTGATTACACATTAAATCGGGTCCCATTCCACCCTTTTTCTCTTTTTTTCAAAATTATCAAATTATTAATAGAATTGTTCTTTATGCTTCGAATACTTGAGTATTGGACTGTAACCTTTTGAAGCACATGATTTTCGTCCAGGCCAAGCAGTGGCGCCTCGGTTGTCTTCTCTAGGGCAAGTGTAGCCCAAATCAATAAGAGAAGGAGCAAGCAACCACTCATTTCTTCATCTCTACAGCCTAGGGCAACTTGCGTGATTTTTTGGAAGATTTTTTAGTGTGAAATACCTGGCAGTCTAGTGTCTTGGATATGGCCGTTCAGTGTTTGGACGGGGCAAAAACAGATCGAGCACAATTAATTGAAGCAAGATATAATATTATTTTTTTGTTTCCACAATCATGCACGAATAGGAACACTTTCAAAAGTTGAGTCCAGAATTACAACATCTAAATTTAGTTTGGTACAGCTTTGTGTGCAAAATTAAGTCAAGAAAAGCGTGTTCATGAGGCATACAATTTTTAATTGGCTAAGCATTAGCAGTCGGTGTGTTTAAGGCGTGTTAAGCATTGGTTTTCTACTTTTTCTTGGATGCTATAAACCCTAGGGTAGGGTGGCCTAGAAGTGGCAATGGATACGGCCAATTCTTGCTTAGCCATTACTTTTTAAGGTAGGTAATGGTGGGGAAGCTTACTCCCATTATTTACAGTTATATGGGTAAGCTCAAATATTTACTATATTCTTAATGGCAAGGAACTTTTCTTTTCTTTTCTTTTCATAATGCTTATCCGCATAAACCTGATTGCGGAGAAGACAATCAACCCCCGCAATATTTGTAATGTGGGGAAATTTGGAGTTGAATACCTCAACCTCTTGGATTTCAAAGCGCACCGATGCCTCTCTGGGAACTTCATGGATATTTTCCTGTCGTTGCTAATTAGCCTTCGGTATCGAGAATCTGTGAAGAAAGAGTTTGTTCAGAGAAGAAAAGAAAACCACCACCCTTGATAAATGGTGGTCGTTTGCAATGAACGAAATATGAACTGAAGCAACATTTGCTGCCGCCCATTAAGATTTTCACCTGTAACAATGGCTACTCGCAACAAAATTACAGAAATAAAAGGCAAAGACAAAGTGCCAGAATCAGAGAAGCAGCGGGTAGCTCAGGGAATTATGAGAGGTAAATGGTTGCCAGTTCTATTTGCAAGAGTTAACGATTTAGTATCAGCCAGTCCATGAATATTGGATTGCTACATGGCATCTCCAACATCACAATTCGCACGTTACCTTCCATAAGACTACTATCAACTGGAACCAACAAATATGATTGTCATTCTTAAGTAAAACATCCAACCTAGCATCACTCTGAAATGTTGGTTTGAAACAATTTCTATTATTAAGCTCCCCTCCCCACATCTCCCATTGCACTTTTGTACAAAACGTTCTGTTTCATTTGGAAACTGTTGTGACTTCTTCTCAAGACACCCATCCTTACTTCTTCCACAAATGTCTCTGAATAAACCCGAATTCAGCTTGGTACTCAATGTTCACACTTCACGGCACCCAGGCAACCTCCAAACCCTCTTTTCTCACATTATCCAACTCCAAATATTGCAACACTGCTTCACCATTACTAATCCTCAATAACAACATAATCTTTTGGTCTAGGCATAAAAACCCCACTCAAATGGCCTTCCAAACACCTGACCCCATTGCTGACAGAAATTCTTACACACCACCAAAAAACTGCGTGGTTCAATGATAAAGGCCTTTGATATCTTTGCTTAGTGCTCGGGGTTCGAGAATTCCATTACCAAAGGTTAGAGCCAACTCCATGCCCTGTGGCCCCATTCATGGAGATACCCTGATCTTCAGCCATAACAAAGGTGCAGCGATGGAGTTCCTACATTTGTGAGTAAATACTATGGGGATGGGCAATTTGCTTCATCTACACCATTCTTTTAAAGTTTTACTAGATGCTAAATCCAAATTAAGCCTGTCTGGTGTCAGGTATTTTGATAGCCAACCTAAAAATACAACTGATATTGTTCAAGAAATAAAACATTTTCCAGCCATCCGGAATCAGGACACAGCAGGATGGTGTTACCAGAAGAATTTTTCTTGCTACCAAACCTGGCATAATCAACAAGTTTCTGAGCAACATCCTGCACAGAAGAGATGACCTGCGTTGCATTTGTGACCAAACCTATCACACTTTTCCAGTCCTCCTCCTCGACCACACTCATCCTATACAAATAGCAAAGAATAAAGTGGATGCAAAATTGTCGCCTAAAAGGAATTTCAACATAAAAACACGAATCAAGTGATGTTGCTAAAAATAATTCATTCATAGGCTATCAATTTTCTTCTAAATTGGAACCTATGAACTCATTTACGTATTCAGAAGTTTTAAAAGTTCATTAAGAGACACCACGGAAGAAAAATGAAATGAAACAGAGACTAGACAAGCTTGCCCATTTTCCACCTCCCAAGAAACCCATTACTTATGCATGTAACTTGTACTAACTTACCTTGCACACCAACAAGCAATAAAAAGCTGGTAAGGGAAGTGAGAAAAAAAATATCAACCAGAACAGCAATAGTTTATATGTACTCGTCTTCTAAACTACCATCAGTTTGGAGCATTCAAGTAAGTTGATCCCTCATAACCTCGTTACACTTCTATATTTTTCTGCATCCATTGCTAGATATCAAGAAAAAAAAATCTGAATTCTCAGCACTCCCAATAATCACCTTGTTTGGTATGAACTGGCTAATCAGATTGTTTATTCATACCCTGACACAGGTGTAAGAATTCTGGATCCACTTTGCAGCCAATAGTTGACAAATGATACACAGCCAATTCAAGGTGTAACGCTAGATTACAGATCAAGGTAAAAATTGTTGGCAAATGATACATAGCCAATTCAAGCATCTGTGAAGTTCAGCAAATCAACAATCCATCCATGGGAAAGATCATTAAAGTGAATTCTAGAAAGTTAACATAACGATGGAAAATTAACATTGTTCATCATCAAATTGACAAGAAAGTTAACATAGTTCAAACAAAAGGGACGCGTAAAAATCATCATTTCATCAAACCTGAAGAGTAGAACAATGGAAATTGCTAATGCATTCGAAGTTCCCAAAATGTTCCCGAAGTCAACAATCTTAATTTCCAATTTTCCAACCTTAAATAAACAAGCATGAAAAGTTCACAACCCAAATAAACGATACTCTGAGCAAATAGTTGAGTACTTGCTGCACACACTCATTATTAAATAAAGTTGATTTCCGGTCCTTCTAATAGTTAGAATTTTGTTTTCCTCAAACTTGCTAGTCCATCTAGTGGCATGTATTTACAGCTTTTATCCTTCAGGTTGTCATCATAAGCATACTCACCAATCAATTTGAAGAATTCATTTCTCAGTCTTGCCGGAGAAGCTGCACTTAATCTATGTATAATGTCATCCTGCCAAAAAAAAAAGGAAATTGAGAAGCAATGGAACAGTAATAAGAGAACAGCATTGAAAGATTATTTTATCCTTTTTTTCTAGGAGAAGGAAAAAAAATAGCTTTCATGTGAAGAACACCAATGAATGAAAATGGAGAAGAGAATTGAGTGCATCAGCCCACCTGCATTACTATGGTTGTAACAAAATGAGAGCAACTTTCAGCCAGTTCTCCGGAGACACAGGGCAGAGTTGCATAGCCAACATCAGTAACGATGTCAGGGATAAAACCAATTTTCTTAATTGACTTTTTACGGAGCATGATTGCTAGTAACGAAGCTACAGAAGCTCCAAGAGAATGACCCACCAACCTTAACCTAAATCCCTGTAGGATCAATTAGGTTCACCACAACAGCTTTCTTACCGGGAAAAAAAAAAACAGAGAAAGTGGCCTGATATAACAGTAGATTATCCCTCAGAAAAGAAGCCAAGCAAGTTTTAATTTCAACTTATTATCAGTCAAATCATCATCACCAGAGCTGTAATTGTTGAGTGCAGCTCCTTTTTTTTTATTATTATTATTATCAGTCTTTGAAGAAGATTTTTGAGTTAATTTTTCTGATTTGGACTTTTTTATTGGCTCCTGTTTATAACACCGTACAAGAACTTCCTGCATGTTTCTTGCTTATTTATAACAGCTACAATCTGTGATAAATGAAATACTAAAAAAAAAAGAAGAAAAATTACTAAAAAAGCTGGAAGTTACAATAATTTGAAGAAAAAAAAAAAGAAACGGAATTCAAAGCGTAACTTACACATGTCGCGGAAGAGGCGTTTTAGGTACCGGTTTTCCATTCTTTCTGAGAGAGGCTTTCAGATGGAGATGAATTGCGGCGGCGGGGGCGGCTTTGTGGTGGTGGTGGTCAGGGCATGATGGAGGCAGCTTGAAAGTGACGCGTGGCAAGTGATTAGCTGCGGCGGCGAGAGTTATTCGGATTGAGCTCAGATAGGAGCAGGGGCAGACGTGGAAGGCGAACGGAAGCTCACAGATTATTCTGGTTTTTTGAAGAGAAGTTTAATTTTGATATTATGCGACAGATAGGAGGTTATTATGGTCACTCAATATAATTATCAAATGGGCTTAGTTAGCGTGGGCCTAACGTGCTCGTGAGTTTTGAGCTTAAACATATACCCTTTCTCGTCACCGCCAGTGATCTCTCCCTATAAATGTCTCTCCAGGGTTTAAGATTTTCAATCCACGACCCCCCACATGGTGAAAGACTAAAATCTCGCCGCCTTCTCCTCCGCTCCATGACTCTCTCTTCTCTAGGGTTTATTTCTATATGATTATCTAGGGTTCATGGTTTATTTCGATTTCAAAAGGGAGCTGATGTGTTTGCAAAGCTGTTAAAGAGAATGAAATGATGATTATGTGTTAAAAATATTTGAATTTGCTTATTAATAATTATGAGTTTCTTCAGACTATTAAAAAATTTTAATTTTAAAGTTTATATAATTTATTAAAACATATACCAGTTAGTCTAAATATTCATATTATTAATAATAAAAAAAAAAATTGTTAAAAAAATTCTAGCATTGCTTTAGAAGTTACCATTTGGGTATCAAATCACTTTGCACACGTCACTCAAATGGTGTGGCTTCAATCCATGCGGCTGACACATCCAATGCTTACTTGAATATTTTTTTTATATAATATTTATATCTATTTAATTACAAAATTATTTTTATTCAATTTGATAATAATTAAAAAAACATAATAAACAGAAGAAAAAACTTTTGAATGTTTGTTACTAATTTTTATTTTAAAAACAATTTAATTATTTTACGGTGATTTAAAAATTAAAAAGTCTAAACAGTTACTTGGACTTCAATTTAATATTTTTTTTATTTTTAGTGATAAATTAGTAATTTTATTATGCAAAAATATATAAAAAGAATCTAATATCCACGACTATCAGGCCAAATATTCTTGATGAGAAAGGTGAAATTGTCATTTCATTATCTTAATCCATCGAGCAGCAAATGAGTCTAAGACAATAGTATTCGACATTGTTCAAAGAAATCCTTCCGTTTTAGTTTTTTTTTTTTTTTTTAATGATTGTGTTGTGTTGTAACTTGTAATTTAATTAAAAGTTGAATTTTTTGTAACTCCTAACTTATAATTTATATTCATACTATATCTTTTTTTTTTTTTTAAATATTTTAAATAACTTGAAAAATTATTCTTGCTTCTTTTACTGTTCTTTTACTGTACACAGTTAATTTAACTTTATATATAATAGTAATCAAATTAAATTCTATGACAAATACAAAACGGGCAGGTTTCTTAAAATGTATTTGGGAGTATGTTGCAGTTATTTTTTAAGTAATTTTTTATTTTAAAATATATTTTTATTTTTTTTTATTTTTTTAAATTATTTTTGATATAGCATAATAAAATAGTATGAAAATACTAAAAATATATTAATTTAAAGTAAATAAAAATTAAAAATTTTAAAAAACATTATTAAAATACAGAAATAAGGCCTAATCTTTTTTTTTTTTCAGATTATTGTATGAATTTACCCTGCATAAAAAGTTATCTTTAGAATTTCTAATTGAAATCTCCTTCCTGCCGTCTCTTGACATCGAAAATATAAACAAATCGAAGGGCATGCTGCCATAAAATCCATTTTTAACTTTTTCATTTTTCAGTGTACATTTTTTTAGATTATTATTTATTGAAAAAAAAAATTCCCGTTCCCTGTCCCGGACCAAAACGGAGTGAGAGATTCACTGCGTCTCTCTCTCTCTACCAACAAACGGCTTTCACTTCATTTCTCGGACGAGTTCTCTTTTCCTCTGTTTTCATACTCCCCGCATGTAATTTCCTCCTTTCTATCTCTGTATGCATTTTTTGCTTGAATGGATCTGCTTCTCCTTCTTTTCCTGTACCTTTTATTTTATTTTATCAGTTCGATACTAACCCATGGTTTACTAGTTTCACTTAGTAATACTTTTGTCTTATTTAATTAATTATCTAAATAAATAAATGTGTAGAGATGTTAATATTTAATTGATTGATTAACAACTTATTTACATTTTTTATTGTTTTAATAGCAAGTTGAATAATAATAATAGTTTTTAAGTTTGTATTGGAGTAATTTTGCTTCCCTAGTTGGATAAAGCATAATCAAGAGTAGGAAAGTTGTATGATCTTGGTTTGGTTAGCAAATGCGTTGAGAAATAATATTAGTGCTGCCGAAATCGTCTCTAGAATGGAATTGAGGCTTTCTATGGATGTGAAAATAGGCCGTGCATTTCCACTATCCTCTGATTTTCTTGAGTGGGCGGACAGAATTATGCTTCACTAATTTTGTTTAGAAATTGTGTTAGAGCCCACCTACTCTTTTTTGGAGATGCCGTATAAGTTGCGTATTAACAAGATTTGTTGATTTGGTTTAGCACTGAGTTTCTGATAAGAATCTTATCCTTTTCTTTTATGATGTGATGGTTGAGACATTGAATTTCAGTTATGTATTGTTTGAAAACCAGCATTAAGCTTTTGATTCCTTGAATGTGGCCTTGTAATCTTCCTTTTGTTTGGAAATAATAATAATAATAATAATAATAAGGCATTTGATGTTGTTGAACCGGTTTTTATCTTCTTCTTTTTTGTTTGTATAATGATGACCGCCTCATTTGTTGCCTAAAGTTCTTTGGATGGTATTTTGTCATAATCTCTTCCTTAATTTCAGGTTTAATGAACTTGGGGTTGCCAGGGGGGCAGCAGCAAAGGCACTGAAACGAAAGTTTGATGTGTTTGCCAGTCGTGAGCAGTCTCATGCTGGCATACAAGTACTGGGAATTGAAGTGAGGATCTCAGCCATAGAAAAATTTGAGGGAGATTGTAGGCTTATTAGAAAAATAAAACCAAAATTGTGAGAGGCTGAGACTTATCTTGAACTCTGGTGTTTAGTGATTGCTTTTTTTCCTCTTTTTTTGTAAAGGCAATGGGGCAGCGGGCATCTAGGATTTCAAGGTGGAATATCATGGGCATGCTGCATGGTGACGCAGGGCCTTTCTTGCTTTATCACACAACACACCATATGACAAACCCTGGTCATGAGAACATGGAAACTTTGCTTGGTAGAACTGTTGGTGTTATTTTAAGGAAGTCCGAAATCAAAGCTGTAGAGGGCAGCTGTCATACTGGATTCTTATTTCTTAGCACGCCTCTTCTGTATTTTCATGCACTTCATGCACGCATTGCAAACAGGTTTAGTGATTGGAAGACAATGACTAAATGACTTAAATTAAATGATGACCAGTTCAATTCTTAGGACTGTTTTGCATTATTTGAGTGGGTATCCTTTTGGGGACTCTGGAAAATCTTTATATACTGGACAACTGATCAATGGGACTTGTATGGGCAACATTTACAGCCTTGAATAGATATAACACCCACCATTAATGATTTTCACTCATAACCAGAATGTTTCACACTCCCAGTTGTCTTTCTTTACATATTGTTCTGTAATTTTAGTCGGTATATGTATGTGCAGATCAAACATTTAGCCACTGCTGCTATATTTCTTGAGGGCATTGGCGGCATCCTACTTATCTTTGGCAGTTCTCTTGGAGCCTACCTACTGGTTGGTGCAAGAAATAGTATTTGACTTTTGGTCTTCTAAAGGGTATGGCTATGAGCAATGTATAATGTACTCATTTAATGAATATCAAGGTCCTTTCTTGTTGCAGATTATACATCAGTTAATTGCTATTCCAATCCTATATGATTTCTAAAACTATGACAGCGAGGAGAAATAATTTAATCAACTTTTTATCAAATTCACACAGGTTAGATTTAGCTGATTCTATGCAGATTCTATGCAATGTTTCTGTTCTGTATGATAGTTACTATTGTTTTGCTTTCTGCATGGTTTTGACAAATTTCTAAATTACTTTCCATTCTTTCAATGTATAATATTGCTCTTTATGGAGCACTGCTATTTTTCTTAGGTATGAAGAACTCACTTCCCAGAAGACAGCACAAGTAGAAGGTTGCTAAAACTATAACTGGTTAGGAACAAATGGCTATCAGTTGGTAGGTATCTCATTTCAGTAAGGAGCTAAATGGAGTTTTCTTTCTTTCTTTTTGGTTCATGAAACATTATGTACTTTACCAAGACCCAACGTGTATGGTTAAAAGGCTTTTTTATCTATTTATTTTTATTTAAAAAAAACTTGTTTTTTGTCTCCCGTGTTTCATGGGAATGTATTATTTTTCTTCTCTGATATTTGGATTTGTTCTTTTACTATATCAAAGAAGGTTATGGGACCAGTGGATGTTGATGAGGTCGAACATGCATGTTTTAGAACATGGCAGTACTGGTCCCAATGTGACATGATAATAGTTTCAGCTATTTAACTTAAGAAATGGCACAAGATATTGTCAAAGCCATGTGAATGGGACTTCACTTTCTATGTTTATGAATTTCTCCATCATTTTATTTGAATGTTTATTTAGTGGCTTCTGAAGGTTTATTGTTGTGATCACATGACTTGGTTTTAATCTTTTTGTGAAACTTGAAAGAATAGCTTGCTCCGTCGAAAAGGGTAATTTTGAGTCTAAGAAGTTAGTAGTTTCGAGTCTAAGATGTTTGGCTACAATCAACCCTCTAAGGTCATCGTTGTTTGTAGATACATATCTGTTTTTAGATCCTCTGGAATCCATTACAGACCGACATATGATAGTCAGATCTCTTCAGGAACTTTGGGTGATTATCACTCGTGGTCTCCAATTTCTTAGTGTTTGGTTTTGAAATTCATTGATTGTTGTCTCAGTTTGACAAGCAGTGGTCAATTTGCTAAAAGGATCAAGGATCTGTGCTGTGTTGCTCATTGGTTGCTGTTGGGAGATTTTTCCCCTGTTGTCCCGTGGTAGGCAAGTATACTGACGTTTTTGAGTTTGCCTCTTTGATAGTGAAGAAGCCTTTTTTGTTTTCATTTTACCTGTTTTGTTGTTGTCATTGCCCTTTTAATTGTTGTTTTTATTCTGTGCTGGCCCATCTGGAGCCATATAGGTTCTATGGGGATCTTGTGATATTTTGTCTCCTAAACATAATTATCTCCCAGTATGAAGCGATTTCCTGTTTCTTTTGTATCTTCTCTCATGTTTGTCAGCTTGCTGAAATCTACATTAATAGTGCCTTGCATTTACCAGCTGCTATTTCCCCCCACTAATCCGCATCTGATGAATGTCAACTCTTTGTGATTTATCACAACTGATTTTCACCAATATTTTCCAGCAAATGAATGCCATCTTGCTACAATCATTTTCGACATTGCGCAATATTTTTGCCTTCTCTGTATACGTATCTTGCCAGAGCTCATCAAAATCTTGTCTGACTTTTATTAGGATTTGCTGCAATAATTTAGCAATATTATAATGGAAAAGTCTTGTTCAGGTAGCTTTTTATGGCATGCTGCTTATATGCTTTATAATTGACATGCAAATTTCTTGTGTAATCTAACCTGGGATCTGGAAAAAGAGATTGAAAACTTGGTTTGTACATCATAAGTCAGATTGGTGCATCTTAATACAGGAGCTGTATACCACTTGTGCCATTCCAGAGGTAAGAAAATTTGTTTTTCGTGTTATTTGCCCATTGTCTCATTTATTGAAATCCTGAATTGAAGCTTGAATTATTCAGGGAAATTTGTTGCCAAAAATTTGGCATTCTTGCCTTGTATAGGTTTAAATGAAAGCAGAATGAGAGGGGTGATGCATGTACTGGGTATTTTAAATAATTTCTTCGAATTATTCTCCATGAACATTCCAGTACTGTCCTAATTCAATTATTGGGCAGGTATGCTTTGTTTTATTTTGTTCAATACAAGGGATCTAACAAGGCCTACTATTCTGAAAGAAGAGGCGTCTCTCTCAAGCATTTTGAGGCCAAAAAGTTGAGGGAAAGGACGTGCTCGCTACAATGTGTTGTAACTTCTCGAGATTAAAGACTCTAAGAGCCTGTCGAGTTAACTTTTGTTTTTTAAATTATTTTTTATTTAAAAATATATTAAAATAATATATTTTTTATTTTTTTAAATTTATTTTTAATATTAACATATTATATAAAAATATAAAAAAAATTACTTTGCAATAAAAAGAAAATTCGAATGTTTACAGAGATCCTTTTCGACCGCAAAGAGTAGCCTAAAAGAAATGCCGGAGCTTGTTAGAGCTATTTATTAATAATTTGAAGAAAAGACACTTTTTGGGCCACACTCCTTCCTGTTGCAAGCAAGTGGCAATGCACACACGTAAAAAGTAAACAAAATGCACAAAGCCAAAACACCAAGAATTACATGAAAAATATCAACCTTTTATTAAACTCAATAGAAGAAAGACAACACAAGCACTCCTCTTGAGCACATCTTAACCCAATTTGTTTACTGTTTTTTAAATATACATTATTTTTTTTAATAATTTTCAATGAAATTCATGGAATGTTATTTTTATGTTTGTGAATATATATATATATAACGAATCAAGTCAAGTATCGTGGATGAAATGTTTTCCTCGACTCGATATGATTTTATTTTGGACGGTGGATGATGAGGTCTTGAAGATAGGGATGGTAAGTCAATGGCTAAGATGGGTTGGTGACATGATTATTATTAAAAAATTATCAGCGAAAACTAACTAAGGTTCTTTGATCAATTGATGAAGAAAAAATCTTTGGTGTAGGAATATTGTTACATAGACGAAGAGAGCGACGTTGGGGATGGAGACTCAAAGCTACCTTCATTTATTATTTTTTATAATAAGTTATTTTAGATAAAAATAAATAAATGAAGGTAGCTTTGAGTCTCCATCCCCTATCTATCTATCTATCTACACGCACACACTACATACAAAATCTTTAAATTTGATCCCAAATGTTTTCTACGTTCCTGGATTTGCATCCTTTTGTCATTTTCTTAAATAGTTTATGAAGAAAGGCTGATGAATATTAATATTTTACTAGTTTAAAATAACATCAATTTGGAAAAAAAGAAAGTTGATGAACATTAAATTATTATTATCATGGCAATTAATTTATTGCAATGGTGGATCATATTCTAATAAAACACAATATTAAATTATTTTTAATTGCGTATGCACGTCTAATTGATACAGTTCCTGGAACTCTACACTCAACTTTATATGTTACCACGCCAATTTTTTTATCCTCATAAATTTTGGTCGGTTGAATGGGAATTCTTTTGGCCACTCGATGATTCCTTACGCGGTCTAGAAAAATTAAATAAAATAAAAATGATTCCTTGTATGTTACACAACTAGTAGATTATTTATTTACAGATTGCATCGAATTATCAATATTGTCAACTCCTTCATTTTTAATGTGAGCAAAATTATCCTTAATTAGATCTCCACTCTTCATACGTCCTCTCACACTGAAACCTATTCCATGATCCTTGCTAAGATTCTATTATTTTTTTTATGAAAAAGGCTTGATTTTCGATCGACAAGACAGAGGAGTAAGCATCTCCAAGACTTTTTTGCTGAGCTAGAGGAAAGAATCATGTACATTCTCCTCTTATATCTGAATTTACACGGTTAAATGAGACTTAATGTATTACTTATATTATTTCATAACATATTTAAAAATCCTAATTCTTCGATATCAACTAGGAAGATTATATATGGAATAGCTTGCTATCTAAATTCAAAAATGTAATTTTCCCACATAAGTTCATTCTAAAAAAACCCTATTTCTCGGTTGGGGACGGAGCCAGGAGAAGGCTTGCAGGGCACGGGTCCTTGCAAAAAGAAAAAAAATTCCAGCTCCTCCTCATGAACAATTTAAAATATTAGGGTAAAAACTAGTAAAATTTAAATTTCAGTTCTCCTAGAAAAAAGATTTCTAACTTGCCCCTCTTAAAAAAATTCATGGCTCCGCCTCAACGTTCAACCAAGAAAAAAAAAAAAAAACCTCTTGAAATTTCATATTTTAAAAAATATATGAGGATACTAAACACACATCAACATACAAAATCAAGCGCAAAAATCTGTTTTGGATCTAAAATTAATACCAGGGGTATAGAAATAGTAGATTTTGTGTATCAGACTCCACCATGCATAAAGTCTTTTCCGTGATTATGCAGTATCTTTCCCTGCTCTGTCTTGTTCAAATTCAGGAGGCACAGGCCATCAGGGCCACCACCCTCCGAGCGTAAACACGGGGTTTTATTTGTTTGTTCTGCACATGGGTTCATTAAATGCCAGTAAAATTGCCTAGGCCAGCCCAGTTCGAGCCAAGTTTTGGAACCTTGGTAATGCTTAAGCTGTCGGCAATCCATCGTTTACGTCTTAGGTTTTTTTTCTAAAATTATTTCAAAGATGTATAAGCGAATTGACCACCACGTTAGGAAGAATAAATTACTAAAATCTTATCTATGAATTGTTTCAATCATGGTAGATATGATAGGGGCAGGGCACTGAATATACATATAAAAGACGTCTTATGCAGACGTCAAACAGTTGGAGGAAATCAAGGACATGTCTCTCGATGATGGCTTTGCTGCATGTTGCATGTGCTGTAATTAACCTCCCGAGATTTTAATGAAGGGTCAACAAAGTGGGCAACCTAGCTAGGCTAGCTATACGTAGTATCTTAGCCTCTTGTCCTGTTCGAGTTCCATGGACAATTTGGAACTCAAGGGCATCCAGTACTCTTGTCGTTACTCCATTTTCTTTCCTTAAAATATACACGAGAATGAGAATTCTTTTCTTTATTCTTGAATAGGCTCTCGGTCCTGATTGTGCTCTATTTAATTGAAACCAACTTACATCCTCCTCGATCTATCCGGCTCTCACTAATATTCATAACCCTATATTGTTTCAGGCATGAAAGTCATGCCTTCCAATGCTGTGAATTCATATCTTGAAGATGGGTCGTCCAGCTACGATAAAGCTAAGGAAGTGAGGGCATTCAATGAAACGAAAGCCGGTGTTAAGGGACTAGTTGACTCTGGTGTGACCAAGATCCCCAGGTTTTTTGTCCACCCACCAGAGAGCGTGCAAAACCCGTCATCCGAGACGAGCAGTGATATCGGCCTTCAGATTCCTGTGGTAGACTTTGAAGGGTTCGGAGGTTGTCGACGACAGGAGGTTGTCGACGAGGCTAGGAAAGCATTAGAAACATGGGGTTTTCTCCAAATGGTTAATCATGGAATTCCAGTTAGTGTCTTGGATGAGATGTTAGCCGGTGTGAAACGGTTCCACGAGCAACCACAGGATAAGAAGATGGAGTTTTACACGCATGACTATAAGAAGCCAGTGAGGTTCTTCTCCAATGGAGATCTCCTTGTGAATAGAGGGCCAGCTTGCTGGAGAGACACGGTAGCATTTGATTTCAAAGATAGTAAACTGGATCCTGAACTGTTTCCTGATATAGTCAGGTAACCTGTGTAGATCTGCTATATAATCAGCTAAAAAACCGCGTATCTATGAACTATATTCCACACGAGCTTTTTGTTGGATTGATTTAAATTGTCCTGCAGAAATGAAGTGCGTAATTACATCACACAGATGATCAAAATGAAGAAGACAATGTGTGAGCTTATATCGGAGGCACTTGGACTTCATAGTGACTACCTTTCCAGCATAGAATGCATGGAAACAGAGATTTTATTGGGTCACTATTACCCGACTTGTCCTGAACCAGACTTGACGGTGGGCGCAACCATGCATACTGACCCATGTTTTCTGACTCTACTCCTACAAGACAACATGGGTGGTCTCCAAGTTCGCAATCAAAATCAATGGGTAGATGTCCCCACCCTGCAAGGAGCTCTTGTAGTTAACTTGGGGGACTTCATGCAGGTAAAATTTTATTTTTCTTACCTGATTTCGTTTTCATTTTGCATCTTTTTCATCCAAGTCGGTCGGTAAACGAGAGGCAACCCGACCCCCACCAGCTGGAATGAAAACCAGGAAACTAGCGGTGTAAATTTAATAAAGATCCACTTGCACCTCTTCCATATTTAGCGAAGCACTTCCCTAGCTCATCACTTGACACATCCACTTGCACTTGATTATCAATCAATCAATCAATTAATAATCTTATCACTCAAGGAACAATTTTAAACACCTCAGAATATCATATCATATGATATGATCCACGTTTCAAAAATCAATCAGAACATTATTAATTTGTGTCTCAACACTGATCGAAGCTGATAGAAGTTAAACCATTTTGTTGCACATACGATTATGACTTCAGAGTTGCTTCTTCCATTTTGTAGCTGATCACCAATGACAGGTTCAAAAGTGTGGAGCACAGAGTTCTTGTTGGACAAGTTGGATCCCGGACATCAGTTGCATGTCTTTTCTATCCAGGCACTGCAAATTATAATTCGAAACCATACGGGGCAATCAAGGAGCTTCTATCAGACAACAACCCACCAAGATATAGGGAAACTAATATGGCTGAATATATGGCTTACGTAAGGTCCAGGGCTTTAGATTGCAGCTCAAATCTTTCTCATTTTAAACTGCCATGAGACTCCCCATGTCCATGCTTGGTGCAAATTCTCAACTTCTATCCACTGCAGTGACTGGTTGAGAATTTAATGCATCTTGTCTGTAGTGAACATGTCAACCCTTTCTTTGAAGCTATGATATCATCGTCATCATGTCTTTCTTCAATGCATACTCTTTATACTATTTAGTGAGGTCGTATATTAAAGTAAAGTTTCAATTGCTTCATGGACCTTTAATAAAAGCTTTCATAATCCCACAAGAAGTCTTGCCGATCAAAGATTGGAATCAAAGAACAAGACAAAATCTCATAAAATGATTTCAACAATATCACTAAATAATTTCCATCTGTAATTTTTTGCCTCGTTAAAAAGGTTTACAGCTCTTTAAAAAGTCTTAGACCGACCTTAGAAAGGAAAAAAAATCTAAATTTCTAAACATACCTCAGAAATAATATAAAAATCAAAAGTAAGCTAAAAATATAAAATTAAATAGAAAAATAATAAAACTAAACAAAATGGCATTTTCTCAACTTAATTTGAAGGCCTTACTAGAATGAGGCGGCGAAACAAGTCAATTCCTTTATAAAAATTATTATATAGATTCTCTTAATCAAATTTGAATATGATCTAATTTAATCTAATTATTAAATTAAAATTTATAATCATTTTCTTCAAGTTGGTCATGACTAGATTTCTTTTAGGTTTTAATTGTTACAAACCAAATTCCAAGTTCATGATTAACAATGCAGGAGCAGTGTAGTAAGGACACTATACTCATGCTAAACCTAAAAAATACATATTATGAAACAAATATACAGAGAGTTTGCGTAAAATTTTGTAAGCTTTCAAATATTCCTCAAAACCAATAAAAACAATTTATAATTCAAAATACTTATTACATTAAATAAAATTCAATCTTTGAAATGAAAATCTAAACTTGAATAAAAACAACATAATAGTGGAATGTCTAAGACATTAATCACAAAAAATATAAAAAGCTTTGCAGAAACAAGCAAGGCATACAAACAAACAAATTAATAGAAACTTTTAATAAAAAATCAACTTGCTAACAAAACTTAAGAACCTGAAATAATACTAAAATAGAGGAGTGACTTCAACCAATTCAATAACGGAATAACATTTAATGTATATTTTAGATATTAATAATTTGCAAGTCATACATATCTCAATATAAATATATATACTAAACATATTAATATAAGGTAGTAAAATATATGTTAGAGATTAGATGAGACTCGAATGTGACTAAAGATGACACTCAAATGTGACCACTACGAGTGGATTAGTCGCCATAGGCTAGTGTCTTTTTCATCAGCTAAGTATACATATATGATGTGCATAAAGAATAACTATTTTATGTTAATAAAAGTTTCATGCAAGCATATCAATATCAACACATAACAAATACTTGCATGAATATTAAAGAAAATAAATATCATATCAAATATAATTTGATTCAACAGAATACGAGTGTAAAATTAAGAATGAATGAACACTCAAAAAATAAAACAACATATATATAAAACCAATTGTACTCATCATCTAAACAACACACATATGTATTTATATTACATGTATATTAAAGATGACCTCATTTATCCAAAAAATAAAAGCAAAAAATAAACAAATATAAAACTAGAGACTACTAAAGATCATTAGAAGAAACATCAACAGAACCTATAATAGATATGGAAAACACTAAAAATCAACTTAAAGAAAAATAACATAAAAGATTACCACAAGCCAACTGATCAGTCGATTTAGACTAAGTAGTTGATTGGTAGCATCAAACCAACAAGTTGGCTAGTTGATTGGGATTTCTAAAATCCTGATATGCTAGCCTTCAAATTTACAAATCTCATAATTAAATAATTTTTTTATTTAAAAACTCATAATTTCAATCATTTAATCAGTTCATTTGAAACCAGCTAACACGCTAAATTGATATAAAAACTCTATACACTTCTTTAATCATTCCACAATCAATTATCAAATCTCTAATAAAAAAACAGTAGCAAAGACAGTCCCAATACTTGCTTGCTTCTTTAACCCTTCTTATAACTCAAGTGCTGGAGTTTAGATAGAGCTGAATCTTTGGTATAATTGAAAGATGAGTTACACCAAGGGAGGGAGAAGAGAAGAAGGGAAAACCAAATTCCGGCAAAAATCCTCTTTCAATAATCATGTTAGATTATCTTGGGTTTGGGCTAGACTTGAGTTTGATTTGATGGACCAAAGCAATGGTTCCTGCATTAATATGTTTATCTGATCCGTAAAAGTATTTCTTAAGTTTATATATATATATATATATATGTATGTATGTATGCTTTGCAATTTAATAAAGAAGCTGAGTAATGGGAATCATACGTATTTTAGGGTACAAGGCATCCAATCTCAGCACGACTAGAAGAACTGAACTCATCTACATCGGGAATTAAATCTCAAAAATCCTCTGATCGTAAAACATTCCTTTCAGTTTAGCGTTTCCCCCAACAGCACTACAGCAGAGCCCTGATAGCTAAAATATCCTGTCGATGTGCTTAGTCTGCTAGACGGCTCAGGTAATCTCAGCTATCAATATAGAGACAGCACTGGTTTTCACTTGTAAAGTCAATGTCATTGCCTCTAAGCAGACTGCTCCCTTCCTCTTATTATTATTATTATTATTTATTCAACTGTGAGACTTGTTGAATATTTCCAGCTTTGATCGATCTTTCTTGCTTCAGTATCTAACGACTCCCTTCAAGAACAACAAGCTGGTCGTAGAGCATCAGATTAAGGCCAGCAGAGACATTTAAAAATGGGTTTGAGGTGTCAATATTTTAATAAGCATGAGTGTTCTCCCTGTCATTTACTTCAAAGCCTGTTCGCAAAATAAGTTTTAAGTTTGGTGGTGGTCCTGCCTGCCATTTTTCCTACACTAGTTTAAGTTGGCACGTCTCACAGCTCTTGTTCGGTACTGTCAAATTCTGTGGTTTTATTTTTTTTTTTCTTAAAAAATATGTTAGGATAAATTTTTTTCTAAATTTTTTTATTTTTTATATTAGAAAATTTAAATTATCTAAAAGACTAAAAAAATAATAATTAGATGCATGGTTTTACTGAGCAAATTACAATCCAGCCGTACTTTTAAAATTTTTTGAATTTCTTATCTAAAAATAGAGTTTGATTTATTTTTAAAATTTTAATTTTAAAATAGCTTTTAAAATTGCCACTATTTTTTTTTCAAGAGAGTAGTAAATAACATCGTGCTATTTTCTTAAATAAATTTTTAAATGCGTTATTCTTTTTTATTGTGCTGCTTTGAAAAAAAACTCAGTTGAATTTTTGGCTGACTACAAGTCCAAATGATCGGATGGTAATTGCGGCCTACCTCAATAGACGAGCATGAGCCCTGCAAGTTTCTTCATAATTTCCAGAGAACAAAAATGACTCGGAAACTAGATCCACTTGTAATAATAGTTGGGAGTCTTTGGGAGGGGAGCTTGTACTTGCACTATTTTCTATTCGGAAGAG